CGGCACGGACGCACACCTCCCGGTTAAAAAAATATGGAGCTGATCGAAACATGGCAGCACAAAAAAACGTGGGCCTCGAGCACGGGGCCCTTCGCCGCGGGACCAAGGCACCATGGATGTGCCCAAAACGAGAAGCATTCCTCCTCCTCCTCCTCCTCCTCCTCCTCCTCCTCCTCCTCCTCCTCCTCCTCCTCCTCCTCCTAACATAAAAAAAACAAGGGGGGGTCCCTCCAGAGCGGAGAGTGGCCTTTGCCAGCTGTGATCCTAGGTACAGCGATTCCCACGAGCATCCAGATAGCACTCGTATCGTCAGAGTGAGGGGGTCGAATTGTCATACATTGTCCCTGGGTGCGTGTCTGGAGTGGGGATTCGCCCTGCGGATTGTTGTTGCGGTGTTGTTGCCGTTGTTGGTGCTGCTGATGCTGTTGGTGTTGCTGTTGTTGGTGCTGTTGTTGGTATGATTGATGGACGCGCATTCTTAAAGAACACTTATGCTGGTCCCCCCTCAACGATTCACACTGTGTTTTTCAGTTGAAGGCCCACCTTGGGGCCCGCATCCTTGCTTACCGAAGAAAGGCACCGTGACCAAACTGCCCTAGTGGGACCCGAACTACAACAAAAACAAAAACAAAAATCAGCACAACAAAAACAAAAAAACGTCACCATCACCACCACCAACAACAACAACAGCAGCAACAACAACAGCAGCAACAACAACAACAGCAACAACAACAACAACTGCAACAACAACAGCAACAACAACAGCAGCAGCAACAACAACAGCAGCATCAACAACAACAATAACAACAACCACAACAACAACAGCAACAGCAACAACAACAATCATGATAAGACGGTTCGCTGTTAATTACCGGCACGCGTGTTTTGCTCTCTGTACACCCCAACCGTGAATACCCGGCCACCTCGTCTTCGATCGCACCCCCTTAGGGGGGCAACATCTTCCTTGTCGGCCACTGACTGCAGTGCGAAGAACTCTCGAGCGAGAGCACCGTTCCTGAGATCGGGGCCCTCTCTGGCCAGGCCTGGGCTCTCGGAATGCAGACTGAGAAATATCGAACGGGAACCCTTGCCGCCGTGTCTGGGCCTCTTCCAACTTGCCTGAATTACGAGGGAGTCTCGAGCGAGAGCGCCACTCTTGAGTTTTGGAGCCTCTCTGGCAAGGGCCTCTGCGAGTACATCTTGAGGAAGTATCGAACGAGAGCCCTTGCCGTCGTGGTTGGATCTCCACGAATTTGACTGAATCGCGAGGAAGTCTCGAGCGAGAGCGCCGTTCCAGAGTTCGGAGGCCTCCCTGGCCAGGGGCTCTCGGACCAGATCGTGCGAAGTACTGAGCAGGAGCCCGCGTCGTCGTGGCTGGGCCTCCACCAACTTGACCCACTTGCGAGGCAGTCTCGAGCGAGAGCGCCGCTCCTGAGTTGAGCTCGGGGGCCTCTCTGGCCAGGGTGTCTCGGGGCAGAGTGCGAGGAGGTCTCGAGCGGGAGCCGTCGTCGTCGTGGTCGGGCCTCGGAGGGCACACTTGTACACTCGAGCCAACGCTCGCGCGGGAGCCTCGTCTTCGGAGAAAACGTGGCCGGCGTCGAGGCGAGAGCGCGCGGAACCGTTCCCGGAGATCGGCAATATTTTCCAGAAGTGAATATTCAACGGCTCCCGCCTGATACTTCCTCACAAGTGATTCCACAATCGAGCTCTCGCGCGGGGCGTCCACACGAGTTACGCTCTCGCGTGGGACTTCTTCGCAATGGATTCAGACGCCGCGCCCTCGACACTCAGGAATCACTCTCTCGCTTTGGCCTTTCTCGCGATATGTCTGGAAAGCGCGCTGTCGCTTGAGACTTCCTCGCGATTCATGCAGGACTCCCGCTTCAGCGACCCGCCTGCCCGATCTGCCCGTCTGGATCTGCCACGTGTATTTTGCTCCTAGCCCCCCTCCTGCTATTATCTCTCGTGATCCATCCTGCTCCATCCCCCTATCCATCTGTCCCCTCTTCTGCTGTTTCAGGGGATCTACATGCACGTGGCAGGTACGGAAGACATACCTCCGAGATGGTACGATCGAAGGCGAAGAGGGCGGGTATCGAGGGTTGGGGTATACGTGTTGAATGCAACGCGAGCAGATAGGAGCGAACAGTCTGAAAAAAGTGCTATTACTGTGGAGTTCGCTTTTCTGCAGGATAAGTATTGTTGATCACCCCTGCGAAATGACCATTGTCTTTTTCAATTGATGTGCTCCTCCCGGGGATCGTATCTGGTTTTGTACAAAAGAAAACTTTCGTGTTCGAACTGCGTTGTTGGACCCAGAACTCCGACAACAACACCTATCATGTTAAAACCGTTCGCTCTTATCCGCTCGCGGGCCATTCAACACGTATACCCCAAACCCATCGCACCCGCCCTCTTCGTCTTTCTTACCTGCAAGTTGTATTTCGCGCAGCCCGGGTACGATCGAAGACGAAGATGGCGGGTACCGAGGTTCTGGGATATACTTGTTCACTGGCACGCGAGCTAATAAGAGCGAGCAGCCTTAAAATGGTCGTCGTTGTGGTCGTCGTCCCGGCCGGCGACCCCGCCCGCGACCCACCCGCGACCCGCCCGCGACCCACCCGTGACCCACCCGCGACCCACCCGCGAGCCACCCGCGAGCCACCCTCGACCCACCCCGCGACCTACCCGAGACCAGCGCTCGACCCACCCACGACCTACCCGCACCCGCCCGCTCACTCTGATCCGCAACTGCGGGGTGCTACGCATGTTTCTCGATCTTCTCACCTGTCGGGTAGCACACCATGGAACTACCCATGCGCCACGCTTGGCGGTACAACGAACCTGAATGTCGAGACCGCTGGCATCACAGCAACACTGGGAGGCGACGCAAGGTGGCCAGCGCCGATCCAAGAAAGCCAGAGCGGACTTCCGTGAGTTTATGCTCATGCCGTCTCTCTGTTTCGGAGAAAGCCCAGCGCCTTACCACTGTGATCCTCCCCCTGGTCAGACCCCCACAGAAATCCGATCTACTGGTTTGTTCCATTCGGGGTTCCCGAGATCCCGACCCTTTCCCCAGGGGCACTCTGCATCATGAGTCGTTGTTGAAGATCCAGAGGCCCAGCGAAAACCTGGGCATTATTTGTTCCAGCTCATCGGTGGTCAGGCCCTGGCGCTCCCAGCCCAGACCCCCTCCGCCCTCCTCTAGAGACCTCCTCGATGGGTCCGAGTAGATAGGGGTCGGAGGACTGCGTCGCATTGCCGATACATCGCCGATGCGTCGGCGATGCATCGCCGATGCATCGACGAAGTCCGCGATGCATCGGCGACTTCGGCGAGCAGAAAACCAGGCTCCACATCGAGCCGCATCGCCAGTGCCTCGGCGACGCGGCGCGGTTCTCCGACCCCCTCATCGCTCCTCTTCCACCTCCTCCTCCTCCTCCGCCTCTTACTCCTCCCTCCGCTTCCTCCTCCTCCTCCTCCGCCTCCTCCTCCTCCTCCTCCTCCGCCCCTTACTCCTCCTCTTCCTCCTCCTCCTCCTCCTACTCCTCCTCCGCCTCCTCCTCCTCTTACTCCTCCCTCCCTCCTCCCTTCGCGGGGCCTAGATCAAGTCATTGATGGCCGGTATCTTATCTGATATGTGACTTCCACCACAGCTTGCACCGCCTCCTCAAAGGCACGCGCCTCCGCGTCTCCTCCTCCTCCTCCCTCCTCTGTCCTCCTCCCGTCCTCCTCCCTCCTCACCCCTCCGCCCTCTTCCTTCCTCCCCTCCTCCCTTTTCCTCCCTTATTCTCCCTCCCTCCCTCCTCCCTCCCTCCCTCCCTCCCTCCCTCCTCCTCCTCCTCTTCTTCCTCCTCCTCCTCCTCCTCCTCCTCCTCCTCCTCCTCCTCCTCCTCCTCCTCCTCCATCCTTTTCCTCGTGAACAACTCCACTCTGTAGCACCCCCAGACTTGTCCGTAGGGCGGGCGGGGAGTTTCGCCACAGACTTCTTCAACATGTATTATCCTGAAGCTCGAAAATGTGACAAAGTTTCACGAATGATGGACGGTTGCTGTTCAAAATGTTGCTCTCGCCTTAACGCCGCGCGCATTAGTTTTTGAATTAAGCGACAGCTTCTCGGAAAAAAAAGGCTGATCATGTTCCAACTGTGGCTCTCGCCTTAGCGCCTAGTTTACAATAGCTTCACGGATGGAGGGCGGGTAGTTTTCAAAGTGCAACTCTCGCCTTGGCGCCACGCACATTCTTGTTTTCAAGTTCGCAGCAAGCTCTAGGATGACGGGCAGTTCTTTTTCAAAATGTCGTTCTCCCCTTAGCGCCGCGCGCATTAATCTTGACTTTTCAGGATTCTCATAGTAGCGGTCCCAGGATTGACAGTCTGGCAACACTTAGGATTGCCAGAAAGCAGCGGACACGTTGATTCGCGGTGTTGAAAGCCCAGGAACGGGAATCGCAGGACACAACAGTCACGTTGATCTGCGACGCTGAAGTCCCAGGAAGTCAGTTCTGGTACGACTGAGGATTCTCAGACGCTTGTCGTCCAACGGGGCATCCCCGCAATGAAAACAAATCCTTGTAGGACGATCTGAAGAAGGAACTTGGAGCGACGGTGTGTTGTAAGACCGTTGATGCGTCATTGTTCCTCCTCCTCCTCCTCCTCCTCCTCCTCCTCCTCCTCCTCCTCCTCCTCCTCCTCCTCCTCCTCCTCCTCCTTCCTCTTCCTCTTCCCCTCCCCCTCCCCTCCCCCTCCCCCTCCCCCTCCCCCTCCTCCTCCTCCCTCCTCCCCCTCCTCCTTCTCCTCCTCCTCCTCCTCCTCCTCCTCCTCTCCTCCTCCTCCTCCTCCTCCCCCTCCTCCTCCCCCTCCTCCTCCTGATCCCTCCTCCTCCCCCTCCTCCCCCTCCCTCCCCCCTCCCTTTCCACCTTCCCCCCTCTTCCTCCTCACGGCCCACGCCGCCCATCTGCCCCCGCCCCACCCGGGAGGCATGGGTCCTCATTCTCCCCGCCTGGCCCCCGGGGCGCCCATTCGCAAGGCCGCCTGCGGCAGCAGCGTGGGCAGTAGCGGCACCACGCGCGGGCCCCCTGGCGGCCCGGGCGCGGTGAGCCGCGGCTCGGCGGCCGACGCTGCCGGAGGAGAGGGAAGCGAAGCACAAAAGGACAGACTGGTAGTATGCAGTCGGAGCTCGACCACAAAAAACCTTCCACAAGAAACCCAACCCTGAGACCCCAGGAGGTCCCTTGATTTCTGGTCTGGGAACGTCACGTCTTCCATCGCACAACCATCGGAACCCAAGAAGCCCAGGGCACCCTGGAGGCAAGCAGGGTGTTTCTTGGCATCGTTTTCCATTTCATGTCCTGTTGGAGAGGCGCGCCCGAACAGAACATAGGACACAACATCTTGCAATATCTCGTCTGCCGAACCACATGAACAGAAAGCGCCCGAAGCGGAGCTTGTGCTACGAGATTCCCGTCGCGGGCGCCGCCCTTGCGGAGCCGACGCGCACATATAATAATAATGCGTGGGTGGTGCCGAGGAGAGGACGAGAGAGAGAGAGACGGAGAAAGATAAAGAAAGAGAGAGAGAGAGAGAGAGAATCCACCACCTGAGCAGGGACCGATCGCACCAGCATTCCTACAGGCCTACAATGGCATGTTCCGATGACGGAAGGATGCTATAGTAACAAAAGCGGCGTTCCTAGAACATGAAGCCGATGCAACAAACAAGACGGCCTCAGCCGAACATGTGTTCGCCCCCCCCCCATATGATCATACCAGTTGCCTTGCTTCGATATTTTCCACTGTTTGATTCTTAAATCCTCCCCCTCATCTGCTCCCCGCTCTCCGTCGCTCCTCCTCACCCTCAAATCCTCCTCAGCGGGGCAGTGCAACCTCGGGCTGGGGGCGGCGGGGCAGCGCAAGGCTTCTGATTGTTCTCTCGCGCTGGATCCCAGCCACTCGTTTTTTCTTCCATCTGCTCAAAGAGGCGCCGGCGCTCTCCCAGAGAGGAGCCGGCTTCCCAACTGATGGGAAGGGGACTCCTCGATGCTACAGCGTCGCACCGAGGCCGGCACAGCCAAGGCAAGTCGGCGAGAACGTGTGGAGGAGGAAGAAGAGACGACAACGACGAGGACAAGCGGACAAGCAACGAGGCCAGGAACACAGGGCACGGAGGAAGAAACCGCGCGCCAGTAGCCACGGCCCGCCCACGCGGCGCGCGGCACGCTGCGTGCTTCTATGCCTCGGACCAGGCACGCGGGAGGGAACAGAGGAGGCGGGAAAGGAGGAAAGGAGGAGGGGGGACGGCGTGCTCTCGTCGAGCGCTGAGCCGCAAGGAGGGGGATGATGATGATGACGATGATGATGATGATGATGATGATGATGAGGAGGAGGAGGAGGAGGAGGAGGAGGAGAAGAAAATGTTATTAATAGAAGTGAGGAAGAAGAGGAGCTAGATACCACGAGCGCGAACCCGACGATGATGACGATGATGATGACGATACTGCTGATGACGATGACGATGGTGATGAGGAGGAGGAGAAGGAGGAACCTTCAATAAAAAACCCAGAATAAGGACTCCGTAATGAGGGATCCTGAATAAGGGATCCAGAATAAGGAATCTTCACAAAGGAATCCTTAATGAGGAATATTAGCTAAAGAACCCTTTAACAAAGAATAAGTGCCAAATAATCCTTACTGAGAAATCTGTACGAAAGAATCCGAAAAAAAAAAATACCGAAGAATCCGTAATACGGACCCTTAACTGAGAGATCCGGAATACAGAATCTTACTAAAGAAATCCGGAATAAGGAATCCTAAACCGAGCTACCCTTGAAAAGAATCTTGCATACTAACCCCTGAATAAGGAATCCTATGGAAGAAACATGGCATGAGGAATCGCCGAAATATCTGTCATAAGAAATCCAAACTACGGAACTACTACTCAGGAATATGTACCAAAGAATCCTTACCTAAGGAACGTTTCTTTACTACGGTAATATCACTAAGGAATCCTTAATAAGGAACCCTCAACAAGGAATACTGACGAAGGAACCCCGAAGAAGGAATCTGAACTAAGGAATCCTGAATATTGACTCGTTGCTGGATAAACCATCATAAGGAACCTGTATAAGGAAACTTAACCAAGGAATCCTTATCCGTACTAAGAGAAAAGTAGCAAGGAACCCTTAATACAGAATCCAAATGCAGAAATCCGTCACAAGGAACCTTTAATATCGTGCGGGCGCGGCCACAAGAAACCCTCGCAAGAACCCCAATCCTGAGAACCCGTGCGCGAGGTGCACCTGAGGGGAACCTGGAGCACCCTGAACGCAGCAGCTCCTCCAACGGCTGCGGGAAGTCACCGCGCAGCGCGAGGAGCGAAGAAACCCAGGATACCCTGACGAAAAGCATATGCTTTCTTGATGCGCGCCCCCACTGTACGGACTCCTTCATAAAGAATCAAAACCAAAGAATCCTGAAGAAAGAATCCTTAATAACAAACCCTTTTTTATACAGAATGCTCAAACATGAATCCTTCATGCGGCATCTAGATTAAAGCATGCTTAACCAAAGCTCAAAAATAAGAATTATTTCCTCCAGAATCCTTCATGCGGGTTGTTTAAATGAATCTGGGTGAAGGATCCATGACGAAGGGTTCCTTCAAAAGGAATGAGAATTAAGAAATGTTGACAAAGGATCCCTTTTCCAAGGCAACGCGACTCAAAGAATATGAACAAAGAGCCCGATGTAAGAAATGTGCAATGGAGAGTCGTTAAGGAATCCTGAAGGAAGAATCTCAACTACGGAGCCATTACTAAGGAATCTGGAAGAGGGAATCCTTACTAAAGAATGTGGATCAACGAATCCTTAATGAAGAGTCCTTACTAAGGCGTCCTCACCCCCAATTCAAGAGAGCGCTGTGTATGTTTGGTTGTTCCGGGTTTCTGGTGTGGGCTGCCAAAGAACACTGTGTATGTTTGTGTTTTTGGGTTGTTTTTGGTTTTGCTGACTCAGAAAGAAGTGCTACCAGGGAGGCCGCGGCGAGCACTGGGGCCTGCAAAACAAAAAAAAACATATCCTGGCGAAGGACCCATCCATACGCAGTTGTGAATAATGCAAGTGTTGGTATCGCTGTCGGTGGAGCTCCTTATGGGTCACGAAACGTGTAAGGGGTGTGCCAACATGGGCGCGGTGGTGTCATGCGAGCGCAGCCACTGGGGCCTTCGGTGGAGTTCCTTGTTGGGACACAAAACGTGCGACGGATTTGCCGAAATGGGCGCGGTGGTGTCATTCGAGCGCAACAACTGAGGTTTTCGGTGGAGCTCCGTGTGGGGCCACGAAACGTGCGACGGGTGTGCCGAAATGGGTGCGGTGGTGTCATGCGAGCGCAACCAATGGGGCTTTCGGTGGAGCTCCCTATGGGGCCACGAAACGTGTGTAGGGTGTACCGACATGGGTGCGGTGGTGTCATGCGAACGCAGCCACTGGGGCCTTCGGTGGAGCACCCTATGAAGCCACGAAACGTATGAAGGGTGTGCCGAAGCTGGTGCGGTGGTGTCATGCGAACGCAGCCACTGGAGCCTTCGGTGGAGCCCCGTGTGGGGACACAAACGTGCGAAGGGCGGGCCGACATGGGTGCGGTGGTGTCATGCGAGCGCAACCACTGGGGTTTTCGGTGGAATTCGCAACGGGGCCACGAAACGTGTGAAGGGTGTGCCGACATGGGTGCGGTGGTGTCATGCGAACGCACACGCTAGGGCCTTCTGTGGAGCTCCTTATGGGGCCACGAAACGTGTGAGAGGTGTGCCGAAATGGGTGCGGTGGTGTCATGCGAACGCAGCCACTGGAGCCTTCGGTGGAGCTCACTACGAGGCCACGAAACGTGTAACGGGTATGCCCGGATGGGTGCGATGGCGCCATGCGAGCGCAGCCACTGGGGCCTTCGGTGGAGCCCCCTGTGGGGCCACGAAACGCTGTACTGAGTGGGGGAAACGCAAGGAGGAGGGAGGAGGGAGAGAAGGAAAGGGAGGAGGAGGGAGGAGGAGAGAAGGAACGCGAAGACCGTCTCTTCAAAACGAGGACCCAACACCACAGGATGAATGGGGAAAAAAATCTTCGTGGCTCCACAAACAAGCGAAAAATGCTTCCTTACACCAAGGGCACCAGCTTCTGCGTATTATCGTTGCTTTCCTGGTTTGGGATGCCAGGAAGCACTGTGCATATTGTTTTTGTTTGTTGTGTGTTCTTGGTTTTGCAGGCTCAAAAAGAAATGCAACGAGGGAGGCCGCAGCACTAGGGCCTGCAAAACCAAAAAAAATGTTCCGTGGCTTCACAAAAAAAAGAACAAAAAAACTGTGTCCTTACACCAAGGGCGCCAAGTGCTCGATATGCCTGATGTGTTGGGTTTTCCTGGTCTGGGATGTACGGCAACACTGTGCATTAGTGTACTTTTGTTTTTCCCAACCATCCTGTGGTGTTGTGTCCGCCTGTTGAAGAGACCGCGCCCCGCGTTCCTCCTTCCCGCCCTCCTCCCCCCTCCTCCCCCTCCTCCTACTCCTCCTACCCCTCCTCTTCCTCCTCCTCCTCCTCCTCCTCCTCCTCCTCCTCCTCCTCCTCCTCCTCCTCCTCCTCCTCTTCTTCTTCTTCTTCCTCCCTCCTCCCTGCGTTTCACCCACCCAGTACAACGTTTCGTGGCCCCATAGGGAGCTCCACCGAAGGCCCCAGTGGCAGGGGTCGCATGGCGGCCCCGCGCATTTTTGGCGCACCCCTCACACGGTTCGTGGCCCCATAGGGAGCTCCACCGAAGGCCCCAGTGGCAGGGTTCGCATGGCGGCCCCGCCTTTTGACGCACCTCTCACGTGGTTCGTGGCCCCATAGAGAGCTGCACCGAAGGCCACAGTGGCAGGGTTCGCATGGCGGCCCCGCCCCATTTTGGCGCACCCCTCACACGGTTCGTGGCCCCATAGGGAGCTCCACCTCAGCCCCAGTGGCAGGGTTCGCATGGCGGCCCCGCGTTTTGGCGCACCCCTCACATTGTTCGTGGCCCCACAGGGAGCTCCACCGAAGGCCCCAGTGGAAGGGTTCGCATGGCGGCCCCGCGCCATTTTGGCGCACCCGTCACACGGTTCGTGGCCCCATAGGGAGTCATCGAAGGCCTCAGTGGCAAGGTTCGCATGGCGGCCCTCCCCATTTGGGCGCACCCCTCACATGGTTCGCGGCCCCATAGAGGGCTCCACCGAAGACCTCAATGGCAGGGTTCGCATGGTGGCCCCGCTTCGTCTTGGCGCACCCCACACGGTTCGTGGCCCCATAGAGGGCTCCACGGAAGGCCCCAGAGGCAGGGTTTCGTGGCCCCATGGGGAGCTCCACCGAAGGCCCCAGTGCCAGGGTTCGCATGGCGGCCCCGAGTTTTGGCGCACCCCTCAAACGGTTCGTGGCCCCATAGGGGGCTCCACCGAAGGCCCCAGTGGCAGGGTTCGCATGGCGGCCCCGCGTTTTGGCGCAACCCTCACACGATTCGTGGCCCCATAGGGAGCTCCACCGGAGGCCCCAGTGGCAGAGTTCGCATGGCGGCCCCGCGCCATTTTGGCGCACCCCTCACACGGTTCGTGGCCCCATAGAGGGCTCCACCGAAGGCCCCAGTGGTAGGGTTCATCCTCGCGACTCGGCGACGGCCGACATAGACCGTGAGCAAGACCAGCATCGACGAGATCCCGCGACATCCTGGTCATGGCCCCGGTGCTTCGCTTTGCTATTGTGTTGTCATGGCCCCCGTGCTTCTTCCCTCGAGTGCTGCCAGCGCCCGCGAGGTCCTTGGCGGCAGAGGCTGGCTCCGCCGGCAGGAACTTCTCCTCGGGTGCCTGCGGCCGCCGTCGAATAGGGGGGGGGGAGTGGGTAGGCACAGATCTACGAACGAACAGCACACACCCAGACCCGTGGAAGGGTCGCTGGGAGGAGGACTGGCTGTGGGCATGGGTGCGGGCTCTCGGACCCCAGGGGGGCGCTCCCCTTCGAGCGGGGGCCCCCATCCGACAACACGCACCCGCAACTGAGCCCTCTCCGGCACCCCTTGTGGGTGTGGCTGGGTGCTGCTACTCCTCGCTCGCCCACGGGGGCACGGGCCCATGGGCAGGGGCAGGCGAGGGGCAGGGGGGGGTGGTGCCGCGGCTTCGTGCCGTGCCGACCCCGGCGCTGGCTCCCGACACCGCGGGATCGTTCGACATCGGCGACGGGCTGCTTCGGCGGCGGCGCCCAGCGTGGAACGCAGGCGGCGAGGTCGCCGCCGCTCGGCACGGCGCGAACCGACCCCCCCAGGCTCCGGGCTGCGCGCCCAGACAGCCCAACCCCAAGCCTTCAAAGGGAGCCTCCGTGGACCTCGGCGGCCCTCCTCGTACACGTGATTTCCACCAGGCCTCGTCCAGCTTTCGGCCACCACCCCTCTTGACCCTTTCGTTCAAGCATCGTCCAGAACTCGCCCAGATGTCGACGGGGTCTGCGGAAATCCAAACGGCATCCCAAAAAACACGCGAGGAATTCTGGGACCCTCTGGGGCTCCCATGGAGGACCACACAAGGGGGGGGGAGGGCAAGGGCGTGGGGGGGTAAGGCGCGCAGATCCAAGAAATCCGCGCGGAGCTCCAAAAGTGTATGTGTGTGTGTGTGCCGTTTCTCCTCGTTCGATTGAGCTCGTGCTGGGCTGCCTGGGGCCATCGTCGGACATCGGACAGCGAAACCGCAGGCGTCGCCGGCGAGGGCGCCGCGGGTGGGCGCCGCAGCGCCAGGCAAGTGCGAAGCTGAAGGCTAGGGGCACGTTGGACGCAGCAGCTCTCCGGGCCTCCCAGAAGGGGTCCGAACAGACGGGGTCGGAGGATCGCTCCGCGTCCCCGATGCAAAGGCGCTGCATTCGCGATGCATTGGCGACGTCGGCGATGCAACGGCGCCGTCGGCGCGGAGAAGAAAGTCGGGCTCCATATCGAGCCGCATCGTCGATGCATCGGCGATGTGGCGCGACCCTCCGACACCATCTGCTCTGGCCCCATTGGGGAGGCCTGGAGGGAGGGGGCAGGCACAGCACTCCCCCGAACAGGAAGAAGCCCCTTTGGAGAGCTGAGGCTCTTCTCAAAGAGGCTTCTCTTCTCGGTGGCGGTGCGGGCCACGCTGGCCCTTCGCCAGTCCCAGGTCCCTGCCTCGGGCCGGTGCGCGTGCGCCCAACGGTGGGGTGGGGGCGGCTCCCACCTCACAGCCCCACGGCGCGCGCTTGCCTCCTCCGCCTCCTGGTTCTCTCCTGCTCCTTGCCTCCCCTCGTCGCGCTCTCACTCCTTTGCCTGGGCCAGTGCTCGCTTGTAGAGTCTCCTTCCCCTCAGTGAGGAAGCGGCGCCATTTACAGTACACCGGCTAGTAGGATTTGATCAGGTGCACCTGCTGTATGCAAGTGTCGTCGCGCAGCCGTAGCCGACGTGAGACTCGCGTATGCCCACGAAGTCCGTTTGCCCACCTGCATTCCCTCCATTTTTAGTTTGTTTGTTTACTGCGGCTGCAACAACTGAGCACTTTCTTAGGGTGGAGGGCTCAGGGTGAAATCCATACGGGCTTTTGCACCTCGGAAATCAATCCGTCTTGTGATTCACCTTTGCAGATTCAAGCCTGAAATCTATCGAAACGGCATTTCAGATTTCACCCATTGCCCTCCACCAAAAGAAAATACTCAGAACAAGCACTGCTCCCCTCCTGGGAGTATCCCCGGCCGTCTTGGGAGCTTCTCGGGTCCTCCTCCTCCTCCTCCTCTGCCTCCTCCTCCTCCCTGCACTGCGCCGTGGCTTGGCTGCGCCAGATGCGGCCATTTGCGGCCAGCAAAGGCTTGTTTTCCCCCTAGTCTGGGTCAGGGGATTCGGCCCGCAGTACGAAGGGAGTATTGAAATCCAGTCCACGTCTACTCTTAAAGGCCTGCCAGAAGGGGTCCGAGTAAATGGGGTCGGATGATCGCGCCACATCTCCGATGCATCGCCCTTGCATCGGCGATGTATTGGCGATTTGAACGCGGAGAAAATCGGGCTCCACATCGAGCCGCATCCCTGATGCATCGACGATGCGGCACGATCCTCCGACCCCACCTACTCGGACTCCATCTGGGAAGCCTAACTAAAATCTCCTCGTACCGCAGGTCGACGCCCGCCTGACCGCCGCAGACCTCGCCAGCCGGGTGGCGCGGAGGATCCGAGGCGCCCATTCTTTACCCGGCTTCCGCCGGGTGCCCATTATACGTCGAAGCACACCATGCCAGGAGCACGTCATGTCATGGGAATGTAGGGGAAACCCTCGGGAGGCCCCTTGGGGGCTCGAGCCCTACCCCTGGAGCCCCCACAAAACTCAGAAGCGCTGCCCAGGAGACGCCCAGGCGCTGCACGCGAGACGAGGAAACGCTGCCCACGAGCTGCACGGGAGCTGCGCACCAAGCCTCGGAAGCACTCCCTTGCAGAAGCTGCCCAGGCTCTGCCTACGAGCCTAGGCAGCGCTGCCTGGGCGCTGCCTGGGCGCAGCCCACGAACCCTGCGGGAAGCTCTGGGGTGGATCTGGGGAGGCCCAGGGGAAGGCCCTTCGTGACGTGGCCGGCCCCCTCCGCCCCCAGAGATATAAAAGACGGCGCCCCGGGTCTCCTCGTCGGCGACGCCGGAGGCCGCCGAGAACTCCCGCGGGCCCTCCCGAGGCGCCCGCGAGGCCAGGCCGTCGGGAGAGAGAGACCCGAGCCTGCGGACGCGGGTGCGAGGCCGAAGCGCGCCGACTCCCGCGCGCAGCCGCAGGGAGGCGGCAGGGAGGGGGGACCGAGCGAGGGCCCGAGGAGACGAGCGGAGCGAGGGCCAGGGGGAGAGAGACCCCGGCGGAGGACCGTGGCGGCGGGCCGAAGGCCTGAGCTCGCTGGGCCCCGAGAGAGTCGAGGGGCCCCAGGGACACGCAGAGAGAGGTGCACAGAAATCTTTCGGGGTGCTCGTCTTCCCCCCCTCCCACCCAGTCCCCATCTTCCCATACTATCCTCCGGGGCATCGGCGAGTGATTCTACCTGTGTGTTCTATCCCACTCCTGAAGAATCGGCCAAGAAGGGGGATGAGGCCAAACCCGCTCCAAGCTCGAATCCCCGGGCCCCTCTCGGTGTGCAGCTGGCGCGGCTTTTCACCCGGGACCCGTCTTCGAGGGCCCCAGTGCCCCGGAACGGCCCCCCGGAGGCCCCAAGAGAGGCAGGAGGCCCTCTCGGAGCCCAGCGCCTCACCTCGAACCTCGCCCGCCCCTCGTGCTCTGGCCAGAACCAGGTGCTGGGCCGCCCCAGACAACCCCCAGCCAGCGAGGGGCAACTCGGGGGAGAAGCGAAAGGGCAGGATTGAAGGGAAACTGGACAAATAAATACACACAAATAAAAAGATTCCCCATATTTTCACATATTTTCTTGGTTTTTGTCTTCCCCCCCACTTCCCATATTTTCCCATATTTTCTGGGAATCGCCGATTGATTGTGTCTGTGTGTTTTTTCCCCTCCAGAAGGATGGCAGAGCGCAGGGCAAAAGAACCCGCGCACTCGATCGGCTGGCTCTCCTGGCGCCTCCTGGCGCGCCGGGAGGCGCCCACGCGTCGAGGCAGGGGCCCGGGCGGCGGGGCGGGCACCAGCTTCGTGCAGCAGCCTTCGCACCTCCCCCCCCCCTGTTCTGACTACCTACGTACCAGACCACCCCAACCCAACCCGAAGACCCGAATTTCGGGTGGGGGGGGGTATGGGCTCCATGTGTGTTTTTGTCGATGTTCCCGGACCCCCCCCCCCCACTGGAAATCGAGGGTACATCTGAGCCTTCGGGTTGGGTTGGGGTGGTTTGGTGGGTGGTGATGTTCCCCATCCTGCCCTTTCGTCGGGCCCGAAAAGCGGCCGAGAGAGGAAAACAAGGGCTCCCAACGTCGCGCTTCGCGCCGCACGGAGCGCCAGAAGGCGAACAGCTTCGCGCTCTCGCGCGCCGCCTCCCGAGGGGAGAAGAGGAGGAGGAAGCATCGGAGCCGAACCGCGAAGCGCGAAGCGCGAATACTCCAGATTTCGTAATAAAAGGGAGGGGGTCTGGACCCTCCAAGACAAGCCATTTCAGACCTCCCCCGTGGGAGAACCCTCCAAAACATCGTCCCCAGACCCCCCCAGGCCCTCCAAGATAGCCTGGAAGAGACCCCCCCCGAAATGAGACCCCCCTCCCTTTATTACGAAATCTGGAGTACCTTCGCGCCCTCGAGGGCGCCCTTGGGGACCGAGGCGCCCGAGGCCACGCAGGGGCGGCAGCCGAGCACGCGGGCAGGATGGGCACGGGCCGCCACCGGGAGAGAGGCCGCGCGCGCGGGGGGCCGCCCCCCGCGGTGGAGGTGGGGCTCTGCCCCCGCCGGGGGGCCTCCCCGCCATCGGCGGCGCGCCCGGGAACCACCCTCGCTTCCAAGAGATACCAAGCGACGCCAAACTGCAGCCTGTGCTGGTCAGGCCGCTTGACGAGGAGGCGCGTGGTATGGCTTGGTTTTGCCTGGAAGCGAAAGCGGGGTAGGTCACTCACGCTCTGTTTTTGTTGCCAGGACGAGGATCCTTCGGGGCTCGTCCCCTAGCCCCGTCCGAAGAGTGAGAGGGGGCGGGCCCTGGAAGGCTCCAAGGCCGCCGTCCCTCTGCGAGGCCGGGCGAGGCGAGCGCCGACCCCGCGCCGCGCAGGCGCGGGGAGCGCCTCCAAAGAGAGGATGGCGCCGGGGCCGCAGCCCCTCGGAGGCTTTGTCGGCCCATCTCGTGCTCGGCCTGTGCGGTCTTCTCTTGGCCCCCCTGACAGACTTCCAGCTCTCATAAAAGTAAGCGCTGTCACTCCACTCGTCCAAGTCGTCGTCGTCGTCGTCAGTCCCTCTGCGAAGACTCCTAAGCCGTCCCCGAAGGCACGGAAAGCTTCTGGGGAGGCGCGAGGGCTCCTGGGAAGTCCTGCCGCCTCCTGGGAAGACCTGCTCCCGCTCACCCTCCCCCGGCGGGCTCGCCGCCGAGTCGGCAATCGGCACACACACGGCCTGTCCAGGGGCGAGCTCTGGCCAGCACCAGACGACGAGCCCGGCCGTTGCCACGAGGACGCCCCACGAAGCCCACCAAGTTCTCTACTCTAGGGGGGGGAACAAACCTACCTCGCTTTTGACCACCCTCGCTTCCAAGAGATACCAAGCGATGCCAAACTACGGCCTGTACTGGTCAGACCGCTTGACGAGGAGGCGCGTGGTATGACTTGGTTTTGCCTGGAAGCGAAAGCGGGGTAGGTCATTCACGCTCTGGTACTCCACGTTTCACAGCGAAGGTGGGGCTCACGACGCCTCCAGACGGGCAACGTTAGACCCCCCCCCCCAGACCAGCCATGCAAGGGCGGCCTTCTGCCCGGACCATAACTCGAACCCTCCAAGACAGCTCAGATCAGACCCCCCCAATCGGACCCCCCCCCCTGTATCATGGAATCCGAGCACTCTCCGACAGCAGAGAGGGCTTCTCAAGAGGGAGGCCGCAGGGCTCTCGAGCACCCCCGCCGCCCTCCGAGCAGGCCTGCCCCCTCTCACCCGCCCCCTCGGCGCGCCGCCGAGGACAGAAAAAATGGAGCGCCCACGAGCGCAGGAGCGAGCTCGAGGAGGCGGCCACGGGAACTCGGTGGTCCCCAAACGTGGTGGTGAGAACACCCGGTGGTGAGTTTGGGGCGATTGGGGTAATGGTCTTCGAGCGCTGGCTGGCCCAGGAAGCGCAAAACCTCGTGGCGACCGCGTTTCCCCAAACCCGGTGGTGACCCGGAATGATTTTGGGGGGGAATCGGGGTCACCACCGGGTGTCTCACCACCTGGCGTGGAGACCACCAAGGAACCCACCCCAGACGCACGGCGCCGGAGGCGGGAACCCCGGCGCGGCGAAAAACTTGCCCCCGGCGGCGGACCTTTCGGAGGCTGGGCTCGGGCCGCCTCGGGGACAGGAGGCTCGGGTTCGGGGGGCTCGGGTTGGCCCGGCTGGGCCAGCAGGAAGATGACGAGACCTTGTCTACAGTCGGGGCGTTGACCTAAGGAACCCTAAATAAGGAACGAAGCCCCTTTATATCCCAAGGAATAACGCATGAGGAACGATAAATAATAAATAACGCATAAGGAACTGTAAATAAAGCATGTAAAATCTAAGGAACGACCGAGCCCCTTTTGAAAAGCAAATGTTCCTTATTCAAGCCGCTCACTGTACAGTTTGACACGAGCACCCGCTGCAGACCTCCCACTACAGCTGGGCGGCCAAGATCGGCGACGGCCCCGTCCAAGAGCGTCGGCACATCCGAGTTCCAGCATACATGCTAGAGTCTTGCGTTTCCATGGGAAGGGGTCGAGAGGTCCAGGGCCCAGATACCGAACAAAAGGAAGCGCCGATGTCTGAGACTAGGGGAAGCACAGTTTCGAAGCAGTTGTCGAGCCCCTGCTGCTGTGAGGGTCACCGCCTCCCCAAAGGACCAGGGCCGCTGGAGAGCCTGCGTAAGGTCTTCCCGCTCACAGAAGAGCACTTCGCCCAGGAACGCCCCGATTTATGACCGCCAGTCGGTCAGTCACCTTCTGGTCGACCAAGAGCTCCGACGTGATGATTTGTCACAACGTTGACCCCTGGAAAACTGGACCACTTCCCCGAGACGAGCTCGCCATCCGGAGTCGTTTCTTGGCTGCCCTGGGGGCCGGAGAGGGCCCCCCGAGACCGCAAACCATCACATAACATCTCCTGCCGTGATAACATCCACGACGAGAGGAAATGGGGGGAAAAGGACAACGTGTGGAACGATCTGGGGCGTTCGTGTAGTGCGCAGGCTGACGCTCGCAGCACAGCCGTCGGCACTTCACCGTTTGACATAACCGCACCTAGCGTGCCCTGTGGAGCTCCCCGCGGGGCCACCACACGCTGTACTGGGCAGTGGCCGACGCACGCGGGCGGTGCCAGTGAGGGCTTCGGTGGGGCCCCCTATGGGGCCACGAAACGCTGTATTGGGAGGGGGGGCGCATGCAGGCGGTGCCAGTGAGGGCCTTCGGCCTTCGAAGCTCCTTGCTGATTTCTTGGGGGTGTGCGCTGGACCCCCCTTGGCGGCGCCCCCAACGCGCCCAGCAGGGAGGGGGGCCGGGCGCCGATCCACAAAAATAACGCGGGCCTTTTTCACAAATTCTGTTTATGCCATTCTCCCCGACCCTCTTGCATTGGGTTCTCTCGTGCTGAATGGAGCCATGCGGTCCCACACTTCTCCTCCCGCCTCCCTCCGGCCTGCCTGCTCCCCTGCCTCCCACCTGCTTTTTGCCCTGCCCCCAAACTGCCTGCTACCACGCCTCCTCGCTGTCGGTGGTGGGGGGTGCGAACTGCAAAACTTTCCCACTTTCGAAGGCTGTTCGGGGGCTCAGCGGAATGACGCCACACGCGGATCTAAACTAAACCTCGCCATCCTTGGTGGTTTGCGCTTTGCGGAACTGCCGCCTCTTTCTAAGGGTGATGGGTGGTCCTAAGGAGTGACGTTGCACGCGGACCTAAATTAAACCTCGCATTCCATGGGGGTTGCGGTTTGCGAAACTGTCGCCAATTTCGAAAGTTGTTTGGGGGTCTGCCAGAATCGCGTCATACGCGGATCGAAGTTGAACCTCGCCATCCGTGGGTGCTACCAATTTCGAAAATGTCGTTATTGCGAGGGTTGCTGGGGGATGCAGCGGACCTAAAGTAAACCTGGCCATCGCAGCGTGTGTGTGGGTGTGGTGTGGGGGGGGGAGGGGGGCGATCTGGAAAAAAAACGTCACTATCGAGGGCAGCAGGAGGGTGCGAAGGAGCGACGTCGCACGCGGACCGACACTCAGCCTCGCCATTCCTGGGGGGGGGCGATCTGCGACGCCGTCGCAACTTCCAAAGGCGGTAGGGGTTTCAGCGGGGTGACGTCACACGCACACCGAAAGAAAATTTCGCCCTGCACGGGGGGGGTGCGATCTGCGAAACGGTCGCCAGTTTCGACGGCTGCAAGGGCCGACCAAAGTGACGTCACATGCGGGCCCACATGAAACCTCGCCATCCGTGGGGGATGTGGGGTAATTTGCGAAACTGTTGCACCTTTTCGAAATATGCTGGGGGGTCTGGCGAGGGGACGTCATGCGCAAGCCTAAATAGAACGTCGCTGTCCCTGGGGGGCTGAAATATGCAAAACTGTCGCCACTTTCGGAGCTGGAAAGGGGGTCCAGCGGATTTACGCCACACGAAAACCAAAATAAAAGAACTCACCGTGCCTGGGGGGCTGCGAACTGCGAAACTTTCGCCACGTACGAAGTACGCCGGAAGTCCAGCGGAAAAACGCCACACGCGGATGACAATTAAACCTCGCCGTCCCTGGGGAGCTGCGAGCTGCGAAATTGTCGTCACTTTCGAAGGCTGATGGGGGACCCAGGGGAGTGACGTCGCACGCGGACCAAAATTAAACATCTCCGTTCCGGCGGGGTGCGATCTGACAAACTGTCGCCAAATTCGACGGATGCTGGGGGGCCCAGCGGGGTGACGTCATGCGCAAACCCAAAGTACATCTCGCTATATTCCTGGGGGGTGCGCTCTGCGAAACTGTCGTCACTTTCGAGGGCTGTCGGTTGGTCCAGCGGGACCACGGCATATGCACATGTTGACTAAACCTCGCCGTCCGGGGGGGGGGGGGGGGGGGGGGCGATCTGCGACACCGTCGCCACTTGCGAGGGCTGCTGGGGGCCCAGCGGAGTGACGTCCGCGGCCTGTCACGGCCGGACCACGTACCGCGGAGTCGGCGTCGACGCTGGGCGCAAAGGCGCGGAGGACCTGGACGCCCCCGGGCGGCATCTCCTGCACGGTGCTCTCCAGGGCGACGACGGTGGACAACTTGCCGGTGATGCGCGGCCCCGGCCTGGATGTCGCTCCCCGCGGGCCGCCCCGGCAGACCTGGCGGCGCGCCCTGCGGGCCTTCGACACGGCGCGCGCAGCGCCGTGAATCCAGCATGCCACCGAAACAAGACGAAAAGAACGCCACCCTCCTTTCTCATCCCGCCTCGTTCGTCGTCGTCGTCGTCCTCTTCCCCCTTTCCACCGTCTCCCTGCTGCTGCCGCGCTAGCTCTTAGGCCCCCTTGTGTCCGTTCTTTCCTGCCCCTCGATCTCGCCCCAGTTCTTCTTCGAGACTGGGGCCTTCTCAGAGTGCGCGTATACAATGTTTCTTTCGTAACAATTGACGGCGCCTGCGCTGTGGCTGTCCACGCATATTCGGGCCAACGTCTCTCGCGACTTGATGCTGACGGGTTGGGCACGTCGCAGGGCAAGTGTCGAAAGGAGGGGAAGCGAGAAAGCAGCAGACGACGACGGACAGCCTCGGAGGAGGCACCGTGCACGGGAGGAGGCCCCTGTGCACGGAGGCACCGCGGAGGACGCCTCCAGGTCGGTGCGCGACGGCAGCCCCAGCGAGACCGCCATGGAGCGCGGAGGGGGGCCGCGCGCGCGGCGCGCGGCGCGCCCTGAGCGGTGAGCCGGACGAAAAGAGGGGATTCCCAGCCAGATCTCCGAGGCTATGATTCTTTCGAGGCGGGCGTCCCTCCTTCGTCGCAATGTCGAGGACCGGTTGTCTAGAGGCCTCCCAGATAAAGTCGGAGAAGAGGGGGTCGGAAGATCGCGCCGCATCGCCGATACATCGGCGATACATCGCCGATGCATCGGCGATGCATCAGCGACATCGGCGATGCTTCGGCGACGCCAGCGTGGAGAAAATCGGGCTCCACATTGAGCCGCATCGCAGATGCATCGACGATACGACGCGATCCTCCGACCCCATCTAATCGGACCCCATCTAGGGGACCTAGATTGTCAGGCTCTGGCGCCATCAAAGACGAATCCCGGCGAATAAACACCCCTGGCAAAGCGGCCGAGGCCGCTGGGGAGGGGGCCCAGACCTCCATCGCATTGAACAATTCAGTGCGGAAGTTTCGTATGCATCGTCTTCGGCCTCCAGGGGCCCTCGCTGAGCCATGGGGCCGTCAGAGAACGGCTCGGGATGAATTGCTGGCCCTGGGGAAGGGTCGGGACGTCCAAGCCTGCATTGACAAAAGCAAAACGTCGGACGCCTGTGCAAGGGGGGGGGGGGGGGGGGCGGGGGACTCGTGAGTCGGCGGAGGCAAAGGGGGCGGACAGCCCAGGGGGGGGGCATGACGCGCACTCGCGGGGGGGCCTCGTCGAAGACGTGGGCGATCCCAGAGCCCCTGGATACGCACGTGCAGCCGGGCTGCCGAAAGAAGGAGCGAGAAATACGGAGCGAAGCTCCTTTTTTGTCCAAGTCGAGCCGGAAAGTTCGAAGGAACGGCCAGAGCCCCTTCCTCCTCCTCCTCCTCCTCCTCCTCCTCCTCCTCCTCCTCCTCCTCCTCCTCCTCCTCCTCCTCCTCCCTCCTCCTCCTCCTCCTCCTCCTCCTCCTCTCCTCCTCCTCCTCCTCCTCCTCCTCCTCCTCCTCCTCCTCCTCCTCCTCCTCCTCCTCCTCCTCCTCCTCCTCCTCCTCCTCCTCCTCCGCCTCTCCTCCCTCCCTCCCCTCCCCTCCCCTCCCCCCCCTCCCCTCCACAATTACTCAATATGAATACTACTCCTCTTCCCCTGATGACGGCCTGGGAGTGTCCGACCCCCCGCGTACTGTATTTTACACACAGGTTTCCCCAGAGTTGGGTTTTCGCCTGCATTTGTTTCCAAAATGCTGCTCTCGCTGAGGCGCCGGCCTCATTTTCGGGCCCCGCTCGTTCCGAATCGTGCTCCCGCTGCAGCGCTGGCCTCATTTCCGCGCTTCCGCTCGTTTCGACTCGTGCTCCCGCTGCAGCGCTGGCGTCATTTCCCGTGCCATGCCACGGCGTGCAATGCAATGCTAGGTTGATACTACGCTTTGCGGTGCTCTTCTGCGCCATGCCATGCCGTGCTCTACAATGCATCGCGTACCCTTTCGGGATCATTGCCCTGCTCGACATCCGACTGTGCGAGTAGAGAGGGGATCTGCGCCATGGTAAGGGATGGGAGGGAGGGGTAGGATGTCAGATATGACGCGAGCGCACCTAGCTTGCCCTCCCTCCCCCTCCCCCTCCCCCTCCCCCTTCCCCTCCCCCTCCCCCTCCTCCTCCTCCTCCTCCTCCTCCTCCTCCTCCTCCTCTCCTCCTCCTCCTCCTCCTCCTCCTCCTCCTCCTCCTCCTCCTCCTCCTCCTCCTCCTCCTCCTCCTCCTCCTCCTCCTCCTCCTCCTCCTCCTCCTCCTCCTCCTCCTCCTCCTCCTCCCTCCCCTCCTCCTCCTCCTCCTCCTCCTCCTCCTCCTCCTCCTCCCCCCCTCTCGGGTCGCCCTGATCGACAAAGGGAATCCGCGCGTGCTAAGATTGAGGAACACCGACGGGGGCTCGCCGCAAAAAAAGCAGCCGAACGCACGCAAACGTAAGCATAACCACCGATTCTTCGGTGACAACTCACGGGAGCCTCCCATACCATCTTGTCGAGAATCGACGCCAATCGACGCAAGTCGACGCTAATCGACGCTTGGGTGGCAACTCATGGAAGCCTCCAATACCATCTTGACGGCTCTTGCGAATCGACGCTACTCGACGCAAATCGACGCTTATCGACGCTAAATCGGCGCTAATCGATCCAACCGACGCTAAACCGGCGCTAACTCATCGACGCCAAATACTAATCGACGCTAATCGACGCTAAAGACGGAATTGCTAGGGTTTACCAGGCTCCCATGATTGGCCACCGAACGACGCTGAATCGGCGCTGTCTCATCAACTCCAGACGCTAATCGACGCTAATCGACGCTGAAGGCGGAGTCAAGAGGGGATACCAGGCCCCCATGGTTTGCCACCGAACGACGCGGAAAATAGGCGCTATCTCATCAACTCCCAGACGCTGGCCGACGCCAATCGACGCTGGAGACAGAGTTAGGACGGGCACACCGGGCTCCCGCGATCTGCCACCAAAGCCGAGCCCCTCCCCATCCCGAGATTGGACGTCGTCCCCGCGAGCCGCCTGCAGGGCCCCCTCCCGGCCTGGGCCCTCCGCCCCGGCCACGCAGCCCCCGAGGCCTGGGGGGAGGAGGGAGGGCCCACGGCTGGCCCTGCAGCAGGCGCTCGACCACCAGGAGCCTTCTGCGGGAAGCCCCACCCTGAGACCCCAGGACGTCCCTTTGACTGTTTGGTGTGGGAACGTCTCGCTCCCCAGAGCACAACCATCGAAACCCAAGATATGGCCATGGCACCCTGGAGGCAAGCAGGGTGCTTCTTGGCCATGGGCTTCCGCTGCAGGACGACAACGCATCCTTCAAGAGCACGAGACCCTCCGCCGGCCAAGCTGAAGAACGGTCCTGAGGCACCCTCCTCCGGGCTGCACGCGAGCCTCCCACGGGCACGAAGAACACGAGGGCACCCTCCCCGAGCCGACCTTCGATCTCATAACCCCGGTCCGACCGTATACCGAAGCAGCTCGCGCAGCCGGCTCTCCCGGGACCTCACCCCCGCGCCAGAGGCGGCGGTGCATCGAGCAGGGCAAGCGGCGGCGGGGCCGAGACGGGACGCACGCCGCGGGTCTCGCACAGTCAGCGTACTACCAGAAGGAGCGCTGGACAAAGGAACGCGTGGGGCTTCTCAGACCGTGGCGAGCCTCGGCCGCGAACACGGCAGGTTCGCGTCGTGTCGGCCCCGGCGCCGGCTCCTGACACCGCGGGGGATCGTTCGAACTTGAACGATCGGCCCTTTCAGAAGCGCCAGATCGTCCGCCGATGGGCCGATTCTGGGCCACGGGCGGCGTTCAACCTTAAACGCCCACGCTGGGAACGGCGCCGGTCGGCACGACTTGAACCGACCGTAGGTTCCACGACCGAACTCCAAGGAACGGCCCAGAAAACGGAGCCCCTCCTGAGCCAGAAGTGGTCCTGATTTCAACGGCTTAACTGCGGCCCCCTCTGCCCAGACCTGCGACGTCTAGGAGAGAATTCCGATCGGAGGTCTCTCGTCGGTTTCGGCCTCTGGCGGCTCTCGCCGAGCCCCAGGGCCGGTATGAGAAACTGGTCCTGGGGAATGGGTCGAGACCTCTGGGGACCCCGTGCTAAACGATACAATACATCGGATCTGGGTCCCTGCTCTCCCCCCTGTGGGGGGTCCCTAACTGATGCGGTGACAGACCGCGCAGCGGCCTCGGGGCCCCAAAAATCCTAAACGCACGGTCCGTCACTGGACGACTCAGGGACCTCGGTCCTCCACTGGACGGTTCTGGAACATCGGCCGTGCGGTGACCCCGAGGCGGCCAAGGGGTCTGAATTGGACGGGCCCCGATGTCTGCCTCGCCACGGGGCGTGGTCACCGCACCGTCTGGGCGCCCCCGGCTCTCGTCCGATCCCGGCGGTGGCCCCCCCGGGGGGGGCCGGGGCGCGGCCCCCTGGAGGGCTGTGCGCGCGCGCGGTTTGGTTTCCTCCTCCTCCGCCTCCTCCTCCTC